TAGATCGCTGGGAATGAGCACCTTGTCTTAGAATAATAAATAGTATAAATTTTTAATTAATAAAACTTATTTGTTGAATTGGTACTCTGTTACCGTTTTTGAATATTCTGCTTTTACCATTTTCTTATTGCTTTCATACTATTTCTGTACTTCTTTGGGCTATGAAATAGTTGGGTACATTAAAGTCGGGTACAAGTCTAAATTGGTAAAGTTTTGGCTGAGTTATTCAAGTTTTTCTTAAACCAGTCTTTGAAAAAAGTTCAAAAAACAACATCAAATCTCATTACTATGATTCCCTAGAAATTTTTTTTTAAATATTTTTATGCGAAATTTTTATTTTTGGAGGTATTTTCAAACCGGTCCAGCTCACGTAAATCTTAATATTTTTCCGAAAAATTTTGGTGGAAGTCTCAAAATATAATAGATCTTGTAATGCCGCCGGAAAACCCGCAACTTTTTTTGGTGATGCAGTCTAATGTACATGCATATATTTGGCATTGGTATTTCAAGTCTACATTTACGCAAATATACGGAATTATATCAATCTATTACAAATTTGGAGAATAATAAATATTTATTATTAACAATAATACAGCTTTTTTTCATTATCTTTAAGATTCAGTGATTTTAAATTTTGTTCCGACAGCATAAGCTCGTCGTAGAGTAGCTGTACGAATCTTCATTAGGAACGGATTTAATGAAGGCTCTCTACGAATTTCAAATTTACGTTCGTAGCCATTCGGATTCTGTGATAGGACTTTGGTAGATTTCACGAAAATCGAAGCTACGATGGATTCTGTGATAGACCTGGTTGTTTTACTGCGATTAAAATTTATTTCTCTACCACATTTTTCATATTTCACTTTAGTTTTATTGGCAATTTTTTTAAAACAAGACCAACCAGCACTCCGCGCCATTGTTAGAAGTAAAGTTTTAATTTAAGTCGCTAGTCGAAAGTGAAAAGTCGATTTCAGTCGACTTCCATAAACTGGTCACTAACATTCGACTTTCAGGAGTAAAAAGTCGATTTTGGTCGAAAGTCGAAGTAGACCTTGCCACCCCTAACATATCGAGACCTA